ATCGATAACCAACATTGCACTGGGATCTTTCAAGTGAAGAACCAATTATTCCATGACCTTTTAGAAATAATTGTTCCCTTCCAATCTGCAAAAATACTCAATCTTTGCAGCCAAAATCTCTTCCGGATACTCAACAAAAATGCTTTTATTTATTCCCATCAACTCACCAACCTCCCCCATCTCACAACCCAAGTCATAAAAGACCCGAATTTTCCTGCAAACCTCAAACATAGCATCCACACAATTTGCCAAGCCATAATCAACATCGTCAAGCAACCCACACATCTCACCATACAAAACATGAGGAAAAGCCAAGCATATCCCAATGACATTAACACTACTAATCGCTCAACAACTCGCAGGTTAATTAAAATTCCCTCTTCCAATCTAATTTTCTTTCCTGATCTTTTCTCTTAATTTGAGTTTTTGAGATCTGATTCTCTCTCTTTATCTATATTATATTCCATTTCTGCAACCAAAGTCGAGGAGTATGAAAAGAATTCACAAACTGATAGTATGCAGGAACTATCTCAATTTCCAAACTTCGCCAGGACAAGGAAAAAATGCGGTAGTTTGTTTGAAATTTATAACAGAATTGATACAAGAGTAAATAAATAATTGCATAATGTTCATCTAAATCAGAAATTGAGAACTTTTTGGTGTAATATTCATCACTCATCAGCCCATTGTGAATCAAAGGCATCAGACCATAATACCGTAATCAATCAATTTCATGTAACCTGGTAAGTCAAATGTTTGACATATTTTAGAAAGTTTTATATAGCTTCAACTCTAAGGCCAACCACAAAAGAAGTGGGGCAGTAGGGCACAAATAGATTATAACATAGATATAATCAACAAACAAAAATAAGGTATCAACGGGTGAAGGGGAGCTAGGAACTTCGTTTTTCTTAGTAGAATTTAAGCCAATGCTTTCGAAGAAAAAGTCGACTTCGTTAATGGGGTGGTACCTAAGAAAGCGCCGAAAGGACTTGGGGAAAGTGGAGGGGGAGAAAGGAACCTAAGCGACGACACTGGAGAGGGAATGAGGGAAATTGTTGGCAATGTGGTCAGCATAAGGGAAGGGTATGGAGCAGGTGGTGTGGAGGTAGTCCGCCAGTTGCTTCTGGGCTTCTTGTATGACTTGGAGCCTGTGCTTCCAAGGGATTCTTGAGAAGGGTCTGGGGAGTCTTGAGGGCTGAATATGAAGTGGGTTTTCTGGAAATTGCGGAGTGGAGCTCCGCACTATGCAGAGTGAATGCTCTGCACATTGTGTGGAGTATACTCCGTGCAGTGCGGAGGGATGCTCCTCACAATGTGCGGAGTGGAGGCATCAACTCGGCACTGTGCGGAGTGAATGCTCCGCACAGTTCGGACAAATTTTTTTTTTTTCCGAGATTCAAAGTCAACAATTGTGGGTATGAGTATAAGAAATTCCATATTACCCTTAAAATTTGGATGAATAGTGGAGAATGAATAT